ACCCCGCGGTGAAGTAGTTCCGCACGGTGTCTCCTCGCCGCCCGCCTCGCCGTCCGTCTCGCCGCCGCCGGTCTCCATGGCCTCCGACTCCGCCGCTCCCGCCAGCACCGCACCGGCCTCTGCCACCGCCACCGCCTCCAGCCCCGCCGCCGCCGCCGCCGCCGCCTCCCCCGCCGCCTCCATCTCCGCCTCCATCTCCGCCCCATCCGCCTCTGTGCCCTCCGCCGCCTCCGCCTCCCCCGCCTCCGCCTCCGCCTCCGCCTCCGCCGCTTCCTCCTCCGCCGCTGCCGCCTCTGCCGCGGCCGCCTCTGCTCTGGCGGCGGCGGCGGCGGCGTCGATCACCGCGAGCTCCTCCTTCTCCCAGCGGCCGCCTATAAGTAATTAATAAGACGAGATCGATAATTAATTACAAGACGAGCTCCTCCCTCCCCCAGCGGCCGCCTAATCAACAATTACGAATCCTAATTCTTAACTAGTAATTGTTAACTAGGAGCTCCTCCCTCTCCCAGCGGCCGCCCTCTGAGATGCCGAGTGACGCCTTGCGCTTCGGCACGCGCTTCTCGCGCAGCCGCTGCGTCTCCTCGAGGAACCCGTCAAACAGCGCCTAATCTCGCCACATCTCGCACCCTCTCGGCGGGCAATCTCGGGCGATCTCCCCGACAGACGCCGCCCGCGCAGCGCCTGCGCGCGGGCGTCAACCAGCGGGTCGAGGAGCTCCTCGCCGTCGTACAGCGGACACTGCGTCCGGTCGAGCGCGTGGAGCCGGCAGCCGAGCTGCTCGCAGAGTGCCTTACGCAGCAGCCCGCACCGGACTCAGCGATGGGGAATGACGAGGAGGGTGCGGCCGAGCTGCTCGCAGAGGCGCCACGAGCGGGTTGCCGACCGTCCCGACGAGCAGCATCGCGCCCATGTCCACCGGCACGCCTCCCAGCTCCTATGTATGTGTGTAGGAAGGTGAAGAACAGCCAGGCTCGGACTGGACACCAACGCGGTATGGGTGGACGCGGGACAGATGACGACGGCACGCACGAGCGACACACAGACACAAACAAGCTCGCAAGACACACCTCCGTCCGCACGCGCCCTCCGATCCGCTTCTGCGCCTATTAATTAGTTAATTAATCGGTTCATTCATTCATTAATTAAACCTCCGATCCGCTTCTGCGCCTCGAGAACGAGCGGGCGGTGCCCCCACATGCGTAGCTGCCTCGCCGCAGCTAGGCCGGCGATGCCCGCGCCGACGACGACCACGCGCAGCGGCGGCGCCTGAACAAACACGGCGTCTTCTCCCCCCGCTCCCCCCCAATCCCGACGGCCACGCGCAGCGGCGGCGCCGCGCGGCCGCGCTCGTTCGTCGGGATGGACAGGGAGAGGCGGGGGCCGGCGCTAAAGTTGATCAAGCCGAGCCGGCGCAGCGCGTGGAACACGGGCGGCAGCGCGCCGTCGAGCCAGATGCGATGCAGGCCTATGCACACGTCGTCGTATGGGCTCGACAGCCTGCTCTTGCAGTCCAGCGCTGTCCAGCGAGATGCGATGCAGACCGCAGGCGTTGACGCTGCGGCGCGCCTCCTGCAGCGAGAGACAGCCGAGATACGGCCGAGATACGGCCGAGATACGGCCGAGATATGGCCGAGATCTCTCTGTCTCTCTGTCTGTCTGTCTGTCTGTCTGTCTGTCTGTCTGTCTGTCTGTCTGTCTGTCTGTCTCTCTCTCTCTCTCTCTCTCTCTCTCTCTCTCTCTCTCTCTCTCTCTCTCTCTCTCTCTTCCTCTCTACCTGCAGCGAGATGCGCCCGCTCGCCCGCCGCCGCCGCCAGAGCAGCAGCAGCAAGTTGCGGAGGGCGAGGCAGCGGCGAGGCAGCGGCCCGAGAGGCGTGCCGTGGTAGAGGCGCCTCTCGGCGGCCGACAGCTCCCACCTGAGTCATGGCGCATCCTCCAGCCATGATCAAGTGCCCGTCGTGGGGCTGTGAACAGGCGCTGTTCACACCACGGCAACCGCGCGTCCAGCACGGCCGCTTGCATCTCGCCGGCCTCGCGCGGCAGCGTCACCGCGACCAGATCGCCGTCACGGCACGGGCCCGCCAAGGCAGCCTCGCGCAGCGGGGGCGTGGCGGCGGCGGCCGGTAGCTCCTCCGGCGCCTAAAGAAAAGAAACAGGGCCGCGCTAAACAAAGAAATCTGCCGCGGCCGGCGGCCGGCAGCTTCCTCGCGGCGCCTAAAGAAAAGAAAGCAGGCCCGCGCTAAAAAAGAAATCTGCCGCGCCCGGCGGCCGGCAGCTTCCTCGCGGCGCCGCGCAGCAGCCGGAAGAGCGGCGTGTGCCGTGCGCCCGCGCCGCCGCCTCCCACAGCCCGCAGTGCCACTCCGAGGCTGGGTCGGGGAGCGGGGAGCAAGGAGGCAGCGGCCTGCGTGCTGAATACACCAACCTCAGGGCGGGGGAAGACGGTAGTGTGCAGAGCATTCCGAGCACCGCGTGAGTACAACGGAGAAGAAGACAGTGAATACAGCGGAATGCAGCGGAATGCAGTGGAATACGTGTCTCTCGAGTGCTAATGCGTCTTTAGCTTCTAGGAGGCAGCGGCCGCCACTTGCCGCACCGCGGCAGCTCGCAGCGCACGTAGAGCGGAAGGTGGAGGCGCGCGGTGAGGTCCTAGCGGTGGAGGCGGGCGGTGAGGCCCTACTCCAGACGTGCTCTCCCTCCCTCAGCCCTCTGCGGGACACGCACAGAGCGGAGCGGATCGCGAGTCGTAATCATGATGAGGCTGTGTGTCTGTGTCTTCCTCCAGCGTGCCGTCGTCTTCTGTTTTGTGGCCCACCCATACCGCGTTGGGGTCCAGCCCGGGCCTTGCCGTTCTTCACCTCACTTATCTGTCTAACTCTTATAATGAGTCGCCTTGGCGGAGCAGCGCCCGTGCGCCGCCTGGAATTCGTCTGCCGCCCGCTTGCCCGCGCCTGCGGTGGCGGTGACGGCGGCGGTGGCGGGAGTGACTGCGGGTGCTGTGCAAGCCTACCGACTCGCGAGGAGGCTGTGTGTACATTCGGTGAGCCTCCCGGCCGCTACCACCGCTGCTCTGCACGCACCCTTAGAGTAGTAGTTGACGCAGTCGGAGCAGCACGCCTCGGCGATGCTCGTCTCGTACCACCGCTCTGCGGCAGCGTTGCAGCCGTCGGCCTCCTTGCAGCGCCGCGCGACGCGGGCGAAGCAGCGCCGGCCAGGCGGGAGCGGTGGCGGCGGCGCCGCGGCGGGCGCGGCAGCCGCCGCCGGACGCGAACGCAGGCTCGCCATCGAAGCTTGACCTGCCCCGCCTGAAAAGAATTCTGTGAGCCCTCTCTCCCGGCCGGGGTGGGGCGCGCGCGGGGGCGGCGGGTGTGCGGCGAGTGTGCGGGATGTCTGTGAGCCCGAGAGCGATATGCCCTGCCGCCTTGCGTTGTTTCATAACATCGAAGGCTAAGCTCAAAAAAGAATTCTTGAGGCCAGCGTCTGAAAAGAATTTAAACAAAACCCCCCGACAAGAAAGAATTTTACAACAAAACTCCCTCGCACAACACTGGGCACGTGACTGGCGCGCACTGGCACTAACACAGGTACACCACGGGAGCCGCCTAAGCGACTCCTGCGAGGGTGGCGAGGCACTTAGCTCCGTGCACCCGCCCACCCCCGCCACAGGCAAGCTCATTCACGACCTGCTCTGCGCTCTCTCTCACAGCACACAGGCTCGACACAGGTGCGAACTGGCGCGTGCTAAAAGAAACGGCAACGGGAAAAAAAGGAAAAATTAAGGAAAGCGAAGAGGAGTACATGCATCTAACGCGAACCTATCACCCCTTCGCACTATGCATCCACTCATTTCCTCCCCTTCTACCATAACCCAACTCGGCTGCTTTCGTATTTCTGTGCCAGGCCGGAAGACGCAAAAGGGGTGCGTGCGCTGGCTGGCAGCCGTGAGCACACACGACTCGAGGCTATACCTGAAGTTGCTTGCAGGCCCTGGAGAACTAGACGTCACTCTGTGCGCCGTGAAGCAGGAGAGGCGCGTGCTATGTGAGGACCTCCGTTGGTGTGAGGACCTTCGGGAAAAAACCCGGAGCGCGGAACTAACCCTCGGAGACCCTTGTTATGGCCCTGCGACCGCGCACTCCCCAGGGCTAGGGCTCTCTAGCTCTCTTACTAGCCCGTAACTATGGCGCTAAGAAAGGTCCTCAGTACGCCTCTCACCTCTCCTCGAAGTGGCACAGTCTGGCAGACTGACTCACTGAGGCTGCCATGTGGCAGCGCTAGGCAGAGGCCGCTTACGTGCGGTGGGACTCAAGATCTGAAGGTGGCCAGCGTGCCACACCCAAACAGAGTAACCCTCCCGAAGGATGTTCTATCTAATGTAATGTGATGCTGTTTTTTTGCATATTACTAGTTGGTGATGCGTAGTTGGTGTCCTGCCCGCCGTGGAGCCTAGTTGGTGTCCTAGTTTCCTAGTTTGTGTGCTAGCACTTGGAGCACTTGAGTGCAGTCATTAGCCTGACAATCCGAGCACTTGGAGCACTTGGAGTGCAGTCATTAGCCGCACAATCCAGGGCCGGGGAGCTAAGATAAGAAGCGCACCCAGCGGGCCGGATGATTGGGATCGGGTTACGGGCTAGAGAGCCCTATCAGCGGATTTTTTTCTCGCTTGCAGCCGCCCATCGAAGCGCCGCAAGCTCGCCGTGCTGTCCGACAGCGATCCGCTGTGATCCACACACATGGTTCTGCCTCTCGTCCCGCTCGCGGTCTCTGCCGGCGGCGCAGCTGTCGCTGGCGTCAGCGGCTGGGCGTTTGTGCAGTATGACAAGCTCACCACGCAGTTTGCCCAGCAGCAGGCGCAGCTCCACCAGCTTCAGCTCTCTGCCGAGAGCGTGCAGACACGCACGCTTTGGAGCGAGCTCCTCGAGCCCGTGGCCAAGCGCTGGGGCGGCGCGCTGAAGCTGATTGCTTACTCGCTCTGCGCCGTCTCCGGCACAATCATCGTCGTCGGACTCGGTCGAGCGCGTCGGAGGCTCAATCACCGGCGGTGAGGTACTGACTGGCGAATTGCCGAGGGAGCGTAGGCGCGTGGTACGAGATGCGATGCCTCCGCGACGCCAACCAGGTCCGGCTCGCGAACCGCGGCGCGCCAATCAATCAGCAACAATTGATCACTGATAACCAACAACCAGGTCCGGCTTGCGAACCGCGACGCGCGACGGCTACGTGCCGAGAACGCCAAGCTGCGCGCACGGCTGGAGGCAGTCGACCCGGGGGCGCTGCGGGAGATTCTCGGCCACGACGACCGCCCTGTCGGCCCGACTGCCACCACCAGCGCCGCCACCTTCGGCACGGCGGCGGCGCTATCGGAGAAGGGCGCACAGGCAGGCGGCGAGGCGCGGGCGGTCGCAGAGGCGCCGGCGGTGGGGGATTAGACATTGACCACTAGACGCCGGCGGTGGGGACTTGGCGCCGGCCGCCGAGGCAGGGCGCCAGCATGCTGCCCAACTCCCATCAGGCCCTTTGAGATTTGTTTGTCCCGTGTCAGAGGGCGAGGGGAAGCGGGAGAGGTGGCTGTAGCGTGTGCAGGCGGACCAGGATTTGAGCGAAGGAGTGCAAGAGCGTGTGCTAGCCACTCGGGCGCCGGGACCGGTGTGATCATGACCCTATGCGGGCGGGCGCGGGGCGACTGCGGCGTGTAAACGAAAACAAGCGTTCTTCTGTTTTTACTCGCATTAACGCCTGCGCGGCAGTAAGCTCCTAAATCCTTCAGATTCTCGTTCATCCTCCAAGCACCATCCCATCCGTCATCGCCGGCGGGCCTCGGCCTCCCACGATGTGAGAGACCGCGGATGTGCGCCGCCGACCGTGATGCCGACCATAGATTCTCCTTCTTCTGCAGTCCCGACCTGACCCCGCCCCTGTCTCTCGAGGACCCTGTCCTCCCTCGAGCACCTGAGAAAGCTTATAAGCGCCATTGAGAGAGGACCCCACAGGCGCCTCACTGTGGAGTGCAGAGCGCTTCACTTAGTTAGGCACTTCTTGAGCGTCCAGGCCTCGGGCAGGATGCCGTTGGTGAGGACGTGCGTCGAGGCGATCGGCGCCTGAGCGCGGATGGTGGGGGCGCATTGTGAAAGAATCACTCACGCTTCAGCACAGCCTCGGGCTCGCAATCCGGGATCCCTGCAGTTCTTGCGGCGCTCGAGGACATACGCCTTGGAAGGCTGCGCGCAGATCGGCTTGGGCATGGTAGCAGGACCTGCTGCTCCACGCGCGTGGCAGCAGCACGTGGCTGCGTCGGAGGTCGGTGCGGGTGTGGAGGATGGCGGCAACGTGGCCGCGCAGCACACGAAAGGAATTCGCTCAAAAAGAGATCTTGAAATAGCTAAAACGAGAACAAGGGACCGGCAGGCGGCGGCGTCGCAGGACGAGGCAGAAGAGAACGAGTGGGACGGCCGCGAGGTGGCATGAAGGTTGCAGCGAGAAGCGGCAGAGAGAGAATTCTTGATACGAAACCACGACGACACACACCAGTCGACTCGCATCGGTTGCCTCCATGAACGGCGGAGCTATTCTCGCGCCCACACCACACCTGGCTCCAACGTGGACACGCCCATAGCTGGGGACACTACTAGGTCACGCATGGCATCACAGAAGTTTTATCTCTGGGCCCCGAAAGGCATCTCTAGCAGTGTCGTTACACATGCCCCCTCCCCTCCTGGGCGCATGCGCCTCACGTCTCGCCAGAGCATAAGCCCTTGGCGTGTGGCGAGACGAGTTTTTCGCCATCGCCGCGAGCAGCAAGCCGCCCGCCGCAAACAGCCGGAGGCCTCGCCGCGGCACTGGCTGCGCCGCGGTCCCGCACCCGTCGACGCAGCTCCCCCCGCGGAAGACCGCGCGTAGACGTGACCAAAACCGCACGACTCGGCGCCGCGAGAGCAGCCGTTGAGAGCGCAGGTAGGTAGGTAGAAAGGTGAAGAACAGCCAGGCTCGGACTGGACACCAACGCGGTATGGGTGGACGCGAGACAGATGATGACGACACGCACGAACGACACACAGACACAAACAAGCTCACAAGACACACAGCCAGCTGGCTGCCACACACCCTGAGTTGGCGTATACATAACTCAGGGCCACATTCTTCCTGTCGCCCCCCCAGCACTCCAAGGTGCCAAGAGAAACAAACAAGAGCGCCTTCGTTGTTAATATCCGCACGTTTTTCTTTCCTCCGACCAGGGCGCGCGACGCCGACGACGCTGCAGCCTCTAAAGGCCCACCGCCTCGCCCTCCGCCTCCTCTCCGGAGAGGTTCGCCACAACCTCGCGAACCGCGCCACTCGGCGGCCGAGGCCGACACGAGGCGCCGCGTCGGCCGCCTCTGGCCGGACCACGCTGCCCAGCGCTGGCGGCTCCAAACGCACAGCCTCGGGCCGGCAGACGCGTAAATTCCCGCCCGATTGGCAGCGCCGGCGTAAGCACGGTGGTGAGAACACGGCGTCGCCGCCGGGCACGGTCTCGCTGCGGAAGAAGCTCAACCGCTGCGCCCAGGCGCGCAACGTCAAAGGCGCGCTCGCGCTGTTCGCGTCCGAGGCCGAGTCGGGCGGCGTGGTGCCGGACACGCGCTCGTACAACGTGCTGCTCGGGATGCTGGTGGAGCGGCCAGACGAGTGGTGGCGCGTCCGGCGGCACATGGCCGCCGCCGGCCTTCCGCCAGACGAGGCGACAATCTCGCTCGAGGTGCGAGCCCTGGTCAACACGGGAGATCTGGACGCCGCCGCCGAGACCGTCGCCGCAGCCGCCGCGCGCGGCATGCCAGCAAGGCGGCGGACCTTTGCGTCGCTCCTCGAGGCGCTCTGCGGCGCCGGCAGGCTGGCCGCCGCGGCGCGGATCTCGGGCCAATCTCGGGGAATCTCGGCGTGATCTCGGGTGATCTCGGACAGGCTGTCGGCCGCGGCGCGGATCGTCGTCTCGATGCGGCGGCAGCGGATACCGCCAGGCGAGGAGCTGCCAGTGAACTAGCACTACTCATGCATGTCTGGTTGATGCGGCAGCTAAATAATAATTAGCTAATTAATAACTAACGAATTGCCCGCCAGGCGAGGAGCTGCTCGTTTCCCTCGCGTCGCTCTGCGCGAAGGCGGCGGCGCGAGGGCGCACTTGCTGGCCCAATCCCAGTTAGTTAGTTAATTAATTATTTTATTATTAAGGCGGCGGCGCGAGGCGCACTTGCTGAGCTGGCGCAGGCAGCGGGCCGCGGCGGCGCCTCGCGGCCTGCCGCCGCCGCCGCCGGCAGCGGCAGTGATTGCAGCAGCAGCGGCGGCGGCGTCGGCGGCGGCGTCGGTGATGGTGGTGGTGGCGGCGGCGGCGGCAGTGGCGGCAGTGGCGGCGGCGGTGATGGTGGTGGTGGCGGCGGCGGCGGCAGTGGCGGCAGTGGCGGCGGCGGTGATGGGGATGGTTGGAGGGAGACGGAGGAGGCGGAGGCGGCGGAGGCGGCGGAGGCGGAGGAGGCGGAGGAGGCGGCTGAGGCGGCTCTGCTCGCAGCTTCGCCCGACGGCTGGCTGAGGTCCATCCTGGATGAGCTGCAGCAGTCCGTGGAGGAGCTTGATTAATAGTTAACAGTTCATCATTGGTTACCTAGGTCCATCCTGGATGAGCTGCAGCAGTCTGTGGAGGAGCTTTCGCCCGCCTCCCAACCCTGACCCTACCCTAACCCTACCTCCAACCCTAACCCTAACTCAAACCCTAACCCGTATCCTTACCCCAACCCCACCTCAACCCAAACCCTAACCCTAACCCTAACCCCACCCCTACCCCTACCCCTACTCCTAACCCCAACCCTAACCCCACCCCCAAACCCTAACCCCAACCCTAACCCGTATCCTAGGAGCTGTCGCCCGCCTCCGCCCGCCGCCTCCGCGCGGAGCTCGCGCGAGACCACACGCCCTTCGCGCCCGCCTGGCGACACCCCCTCTTGTGTGTAAGCACCGTGTTGGCCACTCGTACCAATGCTAAGCGAGCCTAGGCGCGCCTCCTTCGCCGACGTCACCGCGCACGGCGTGTGTGGTGTCTGCGGCGCCGACCTCTCTGCAGGCGCTGCGCACCCGACCACACCTGCTAACCCTAACCCTAACCCTAACCCTAACCCTAACCCTAACCCGACCCGCCTTTTTCGAACCGCCTCTCGAACTCTCTCTCCGTCTGGCAACTCTCTCTCTCCTGCCTCTGCTGCGTTTGGCAACTCTCTCTTCTCCCTCTGCTGCCCTCGCTGACCCTTCTCTGACCCTTCTCTGGCCCTTCCCCGCACCTTCCCCGCACCTTCCCTGCACCTTCCCTGCACCTTCCCTGAACCTTCCCTGCACCTTCCCTGAACCTTCTCCGCAGGCCCGCTGGTGCCCGCGCAACGGGCGCGCCTTCGCGAGGGCCTCCTGGCCGCCTAATTAATCATTAATTACTAGTTAATCATTGATTAATTAGGCGCGCCTTCGCGAGGGCCTCCTGGCCGCCTAATTAATCGTTAATTAATAGTTAATCATTGGTTAATTAGGCGCGCCTTCGCGAGGGCCTCCTGGCCGCCTAACCAATCCTTAATTAATAGTTAATCATTGATTAATTAGGCGCGCCTTCGCGAGGGCCTCCTTGCCGCCGCCGCTGCCCGAGGTCCGGTCCCATCCTAACCTAACCCTAACCCTAATCTAACCCTATCCCGAACCCTAACCCTAACCCTAACCCTAACCCTAACCCTAACCCTACCCCCAACCCTAACCCAAACCCGAACCCGAACCCTAGGCCCGCTCCACGGCCTGGCGTTGCGTGCCTTCGGCGAGTGGGTGTCGCGCCGCGGCTACAAGTGCGTCGTGGACGGCTAATTAACTGCTAATTAACCACTAAGTAACTACTAATTGACCACTAATTAACCACTAATTAACCACTTATTAACTACAGGTACGTCGTGGACGGCGCAAACGTGGCGTACCGCAACCAAAACTACGACGGCGGACGCTTCTCGCTGGAGCAGGTGGGATTACCCGAGATTACCCGAGATTACCCGAGATTACGGCGGCCGCTTCTCGCTGGAGCAGGTGGGCCTCCCGCTCAACGAGCTGTGAACAGCGCCTCTTCACACCTCTCGCTGGAGCAGGTGGGCCTCCTGCTCGACGAGCTGTGAACAGCGCCTCTTCACACCTCTCGCTGTGAACAGGTGGGCCTCCTGCTCGACGTGCTGTGAACAGCGCCTCTTCACACCTCTCGCTGTGAACAGGTGGGCCTCCTGCTCGACGTGCTGTGAACAGCGCCTCTTCACACCTCTCGCTGTGAACAGGTGGGCCTCCTGCTCAACGAGCTGTGAACAGCGCCTCTTCACACCTCTCGCTGTGAACAGGTGGGCCTCCTGCTCGACGAGCTGTGAACAGCGCCTCTTCACACCTCTCGCTGTGAACAGGTGGGCCTCCTGCTCAACGAGCTGTGAACAGCGCCTCTTCACACCTCTCGCTGTGAACAGGTGGGCCTCCTGCTCAACGAGCTGTGAACAGCGCCTCTTCACACCTCTCGCTGTGAACAGGTGGGCCTCCCGCTCAACGAGCTGTGAACAGCGCCTCTTCACACCTCTCGCTGTGAACAGGTGGGCCTGCTGCTCAACGAGCTGTGAACAGCGCCTCTTCACACCTCTCGCTGTGAACAGGTGGGCCTGCTGCTCGACGAGCTGCGCAGGAGATCGGGGGGAGCCGCGCCGCTGCTCGTGCTGCCAAAGGTCTGCATTGCGCTATGAACCGTTAGTTAGCGTTGCACGCGCTGCTCGCTGCCAGAGGTTATTAACTGATTAACCATTATGCTGCCAACGGTCTGTTCCTTGCTAAGTGTTGGTCATTGACCGTTAACTAGCGTTACACACGCTGTTCGTTGCTGCCGAAGGCTACGTATCAACTGTGAACGAACTTCTTCATCATTGATGAACCCTCTGCTCGTATGCTGCCGAAGGTCTACCTGACGGCGCGCCTCGTGCCCAACCACACCCAGCCGCGCGTCGTGCCGAGCAAGGAGCGTGCGGCCTACTCGGCCGCCGAGGCGGCGATCGCCAAGAGGCTCCCAGACACTTCCGAGACACTTCCTAGACACCTCCTAGACACTTGCTCGCGGCGGAGGTAGTCACGCTGCTTGGGCAGGCGAGGAGGGGAGAGGAGGAGAGAGGGAGAGGGAGAGGGAGAGGGAGGAAGGGAGAGGGAGAGGGAGAGGGAGAGGGAGAGGGAGAGGGAGAGAGGGAGAGGGAGAGGGAGAGGGAGAGGGAGAGGGAGGGAGAGGGAGGGAGAGGAGGAGAGAAGGGTGGGGGAGAGGAGGAGACACTTAGGGAGCGTGCGCGGTAGCGAGCCTGCCTCCCTCCACCAGCGAACCTGTCACGCACCTACTCGAGATGCAGGCGAGATTACCCGAGATTACCCGAGAGTACCCGAGATTACCCGAGATTACCCGAGATTGCCCGAGATTACCCGAGATCGCCGAGAGGCTGCACCTACTCGAGATGCAGGCTGCGCGGCAGCGAGCATGTCTGGGCGGTGCCGGACGGCTCGAACGACGACTGGTACTGGATGCTCGCCACGCTTGTGCTCGCGGACAGCGGTGGCGGCGGCGGCGGCGGAGAGGTGGTGCGCGCCGTGACCAACGACCGGATGCGCGACCACGCGGG